GATTCTTTGCTATTGAGAAGCAAGGGGAATAGATGGAGCGGTAGGAAGAGAAAGAACGAGAATGAATGAGAATGGAGGAAGAGAAAGAAAGGAAGGAGAAGGGAGGAAGAAAAAGAAGGAAGAAGTGAGGAAAAGCAGTGGCCAAACGGTGGTGATGGTGTTGCTGCCGGCGCCGGTGCTGGAGAAGACATGGGAACAGTGAAGAGTCGAAGAAGAGGAGAACCGCTGGTTGGAGTTAGGGAAGAAGATAATGGATGACGAAGATGAAACGGAGTTAAGTGTATTAACGGAAATAACGGAAATTTAAGTCAGGTGTAACGGAGGGTGTTGACAGTTTGGGTAAACTTATCATTTTCCTAAAATGAAACTACTTAACAAAGCTACATATAAGCATTTTTTTTAAAGTTATTGTTCATATGTTATAAAAAAGAATTATCAAAATAAAAATATTATAGTTATAATGTCACATGGTAATATCAACTTATAATATGATATATTATTATATAATTGACTTTAAATTTCTACTCATAATTTATTATGAACAACTTTTACTATCATATTTATAAGGTTAAGATCCAATTACAGATAATTTTTATACATATTATTTACAATTGATCATTCATTTGTCATAGTAAATGTATGATCAAAATTTATCAAAAATTCATAGTGAGAAGATAAATTATCAAAATTTTATGTAAATAACATGTAGAAGTAAATCATAACTTAGATATGTATATGTATAGGTTAGGATCTACTTACTTGCACACAACTTTTATACAAATCACTTATACAAAATCTTAATTTATATCTTCACAACAAATAATTGAAATTTAACACAACTTTTAAAATAAAAAAGATAATTATTTTTAAAGTAAATTAAATTAATTAATTTCATCCATTCAACTCTTATTTTTGAAAAATATTTTATTTCTCGTGAAAATCTTATTTCACATAAAATTAATTAATTTTTCATTTATCTAAATTAATTAATCTAAATCTCAAGATAACATACTATTGTGTATGAATCTTTAGATGTTCATCACGTTGGTAGTAAGTTGCTTTACATACTACAAGCCAACCTAAGAACACATCATGGTCATTAAAGTGGTAGAAGAGTTGTTGGATTTGACAATTAAGCCTTTACATGATCAATTATTGTATAATCCAATCCTTTTGTCAACCAATATCTCAATCGAGTACAATGTATGCAATTGGATGTCTACATCAACTGATATTTTAAGCAGCACTGCTCACATTAAGCCATTGTAGTTACATAATTGAATTTTTTTTTGAGTATTTATATGAATTTAAATTCTAAACTTAAATTATAAGATAATATTTATTAGAATTTATTCATTTAACGAATATATTAATTTATTATATTAATTTTATCTCTTAACCGGTGAGCTAATTTTAAAACTTATTGTGCAAGTTCCTCTGCATCCAAGGTTGGAAGCATAAGTTTTGATACAACTATGAGGAATTAAAATTTCTACCTTTAACTTCTCATACTAATTTTTGAAATTTAACTTACAAAAAAATTTATACAAATGAATAATAATAAAATAATATAATATAGAAAAAAATCAATTTAATGTGAGAAATGTTCAACAGGAAAAAAATACAGCAAAAATATAAAAGAGATCTACCAATCAAAGGGAAGAGTTACAATGATTTGGTACTATTTATACTATAAATAACAGCTAATTAAAAAATGTCATATATAAGTCCATGAAATAGCCACATCACCACCCTGCAGTTATCTAACGTGGTGCAGTCCATGTGTTCTTGTTGGTCTGAACCAGGTGACAGTCTGGGGTAAAAGCAAATAATAGGAATAGGATAGTTGTTATTATTATTATTATTATTTTTGAAAATAGGTAATGGATGGAATAGGATAGTTAAGTCTGTGTTTAAAAGTTAATTGCAAGTATCAAGGATTTGATGGAATTAAAGTTAGTGATTTGTCATGTGAAAAGATTCTACAGACATTTTACATAGCTAGCTGGCAGACCTGCGAGTCCTTGAAGATTAGCTCTGTGAAGTTTGGCTACTAGCTGCAGACCTAGTCTAAGTAAACCTCAACATTATCATGGAATTAGAATAATTGTTCACTCAAATAAGCTCAAATAAACTTTTGTTGTTCCAGTTTTGTTCAAAGTCAGGTTTGTAGTTTAAAAAATAATTAATATATTTT